TGGGCTTGGAGGCGGCCCCGGGCTGTGCCCGCAGCCCGGCCGCTTCCCCTCGGCAGCGCGGAGCCGGGTGGGGGGGTGTCTCCGTCCCGTTCCCTCCCCGCGGGCACGGGTCGCAGTACTGCCCCCCCCCGCCCCCCCCGAACGCTCGCCGGTTCCCGGTTGCGGCAGGGGCCGGGCGAGGAGCGGGTGATATTTCTTTGGGGTGACCCTTGCTCCTCTGCCGTACCCAGGTGTCCCGGTGGCGGCGGGAGCCTTTGCCCCGGAGGTGGAGGGAGGGCGGTGGGGTGGGCGCCGCAGAAAATCCCCGTTCTTTAAAAATCAAAAGAAAAAAAAATCTCCCACCCTGGGGGCTCTGCATCCCCCGGGGAGGCAGGTCCTCCGTCCAAGGTGACACCCCGCTGCTCCTCTCCCCCTCCGCAGGGTGACCATGGCCGAATTCACTAGCCAGCGGGGCAAGCGGCAGGAGGACAGCGGGCTGGGCAGCGTCCTCGACCTGCTGTTGGCCAACGCCAGGCTGGTGCTGGGTGTCAGCGGCGCGGCCGTGCTCGCCATCGCCACGTTGGCTGTCAAGCGGGTAAGGCTGGCGTGACCGCCGTCAGGGTTCGGAGGATGGGAACAACCTGACGGACCGTGGAGGAAAACCATTTTGGTCCCCAGCGGTGGGAGAAGATGTGCCACAGACCTTGCTGGCCGTTCCCGAGCTGCGGAGCAGGTCCCTCGAGTCGGGTAGAAATGCCGCCGGTGACAGTGGCAGTGCCGTGGGTGTGGAGCTGCCCACTTCCACGCCGTGGGGGCACACGCAGCCCCATGCCCCATTTGTCTGGAACAGCACTCATTCGGGATACAGTATCCCATCCAGAAAGGCACTTTGGGCTTAATTCATCTTTGGACACCTGACTGTTTTCCACTTAAAATCTGCAGGAAGAAAATGTGCACCTTTGCGGCCCCCTAAACTGTCTATTTTTGCTAGCAGAAGCCCTGCCTGGGGCTGTCTCCCCACACGTGTACCAGAGGGGCTGTTGTCCCCTGTAGCTCAGGGTGTGACCGTGGGGAAATGGTACCAAGATAATAACTCATCTATGTGGCTTTTGCTTCCCTCCAGCTGATAGACCGAGCCACCAGCCCTCGTGACGAAGGCGATCCCAAAGCTGAGCAGAAGACCCTGGAGGAGAGCTGGCAGGACTTGGCCTTGATCAAGGCAACGCCAAAACTCCCCAAGAAGCAGAGAAGGGAAGACCTCAGCGAGCCTCTGCTCTCTCCAGCTCGGCCGCCGGCGCCAGGTGAGGCTCGTGGTTGCATGCCGGCTCCTGCCGCGGTTGGGAAGTTCACCTTGATGTGCTCTGGGGCCATCTGTGCTGCTGCTCCCCACAGCCTGGAAGCATTGCGTTATTTTTAGCTTGGTGACTGGAAAGCTGACCCGATTGAGCCTGCCCTCCTGGGAGGCTCCCAAGCCGCGGTCCCTTTTTAGGCAATGACTGCAGTAACAGCACCTCTGATAACGTCCTGGGCGTCTTGGCCACCGCGGCGTGGTGGAGGCTGTCGGGGCTTTGTTTCCTCTGGAGCGAAGTCTTGCTGTGCTCGTTTTCTGGGTCAGCTCTGCCTAGAGGAAGGTGCGCTCGGGAATTGCCGCAGACAAAGGCTGCCTTGTCTGGCTGCCTACAAAGACAGTGTTTTTCCAAGTGGGAAAGCAGCCCAGCTCGGTGCAGGACAGGTCCTGAGATACCAGACCCGGAGCAGGATTGTTTGCAGGACTTGAGTGATCAGACAGATGTCGGAGCAGGCTGGATCTGCCTGAGCAGTCTCAGTGGGGCTGAGACTCATAGGGACCTTGGTAGTGAGTCCCTTGCCCGGCTGCTGGTGCTTAGCCTGGTTTACCCATCTCTAGCTGGGGGGGTGAGGCTGGGCACAGTGGGGTTTTGAGGTTAGTTTGGGCTCTGCCTTAGCTGCAAAGCGCTGTTAACATCAGAGGACTCGGTGGTGGCCCTCTTGGCAAGGTCAGCCTTGTGTCCAGAGAGGTGGGCTGAGAGCTGGGCACCCGGCTTGCGCCTCTCCCTCGGCTGCGGCAGGAGAAGCTGCTGCTGTTGGTTGTAGATGATCTGCTCAGAGCTGTGACTTCTCCGTTCCCTCTGCCCCATCTCCTTCTCACAGAGCCCAGGGTCTGCTCTGCCCCTCCGGAGACTCCTCAGGTTGAATTCAGCCCTCCACGCTGCCTCACGCTGCAGGAGAAGCTCCTCTCCCACTACAGCAGCCGGCTGGCCGTGCCCGAGACGCAAGCATCCCTCGCCCCGCAGCTGGCCAGGAGCATCTGCGCCCAACTGCAGAACTTCCTGCAAATCAAGTGCCCGGAGCTGCCCTTCGGCAGCCTCTTCCTCAGCGGTCCCCTGCTCGATGGCCTCGGAGCTCTGGCAGCTGACCACGTCCACCTCATGCTGCCGGTGGTCCTTGACGCTGCGCTCTGGAGCCTCATCCCAGGAGAGGACACCGTGGTGAGGAACCCCCAGTACTGGATGATCAAGAGGACTGATCTGGAGTATTTCCCTCGTGGGCGTAGCCCCTGGGACAGGTTCATCGTGGGCCGGTACCTCTCCTCCAACGCGCTCAATGAGACCCTTCACAAGATGCTGGTGGCCTCCATCAACTGGCCTGCCATAGGCAGCCTGCTGGGGACCGTCATCCACCCGGTCGTGGCTTCCCAGGAGCTGAAACTGGAAGTCAAACACGACCAGGTCGAGCTGAGCATCGCCCTCTTCCCGGTGGTGGAAATGGAGGACAAGGTTCTTCTGGCTGCTCCTCCTGAAGGACTGGTGGAAAACCTCTGGCTTGAGAGCTTTTACAGGGCAGAGGTTTCAAAGCTGAAGGAGCTGGATGCCGGTGACGCCGGGGCTCGGCAGCGCTGCCTCCGCATCCTGAACGGCATCTGCAAGAGCCATCCCACCCTGCACAAACTGAGCGGCAGCCCCTTGACCCATGTCGTCCTTCATCTCAGTGCCACCAGTTCGGACTGGGCAGAAGAAAGCCTTGCTGACAGGTTCCAGCAGGTGCTTGAGGAGCTGGTAGGCTACCTGGAAAAAGGGGTCCTGCCTTCCTATTTCAACCACAAAATCAACCTCTTTTGTGAGCTGTTGGAAGAGGAAATTGATGAAATGGGCTTCATGCTCTACAGGGCGGTATCTGAGCCGGAGCTCCTGCTGAAGGAGAAATGACTGGTGTGTCGGGAGCTCCCGAACTTAGGGTGTTCCTCGCCCATCTGCTGCTCCCCGCTGTGAAGGTTGGGATGCTTCTAGTTGACTAGTCAGTAAGAGGCGAAGTTCTTGCACTTTATGAGAAAAAAAAAAGTATTTCCTGTCTGAATAAAACGTGCCTGAGCAGAGGTGGGTGTTGGCATAAGGAGCCTTTGGCTGGGAGGCTCTGCTGAACCCAGGGCAAGTGCAGCCCACACCTCAAGTACCTACAGGTGAGTCCCGTCCCCTGGGTGTTGGGAGCCGATGTGAAGCACGTTTGGTCTCTGGTTCCCAGTGTCCTCTGCCTGTCCCAGCCTGCTGTCACAACTGTCAGGCTCCCCTCATGCTCTGAGACCAGCTGGAGCTGGAAGGGAGCAGTTCCTTGCTGCTGCTGCGTCCTGGGTGCTGGGTGGGTCCTTTCACCAGCACCCAACTTGGTCTTACTGTGTCATGCCCTCAAGCTGGCTTTTGGGACAGGGTGGGAGCCTCATCCGTCTGTAGGATATTGCCAATCTGAAATAAGGTCCCAGTGATGACCTGGGTGGTTGTCTGGGCGCTTGAAGATACAGCCATAGCAAAAGGGGCTGCAGGTTTATTCTTTGGAAATCCTTTCAGTTGCCAAAAGGGGCAAGCTCAGCCCTACCTCTTCATTCTGCCAGTATTGGCTCTGCCCTGAGGAAGCGGTGTGCTTCCAGCACGGTGCTGGGGCTTCGTGGCCCTTGTCCCATGCAGCGTTTTGCTGGAAGATGTCCCAAAAAAGGCAGTGGCAGGAAGAGAGCTGCTGACTCCTGAGAGGTTCCTGGTATCGGTCCCTTGGTGGAGGCTGCAGCAGGGCTGTGCGTCCCCTCCACGGTGGGTGGGTTGCTGCCAGCCTCCGTCTGCGGGTACTCGCTGCTCTGCAATGAACCACGGCGTTGCCTTCCAGTTTGTCCAGTGACCTTTTCACATGTGTATTGTTGCTGTCTTGAGGTCTTGTTCCCCTGGAGCCCCATGGTATGGGGCAGGACAGGAATGATGCTCTGAGCAAAGTGCTTGCAAGAACTGAAGTGGTTTATGCTTTTTATTAAGAAGGTATGTTTTGTTTGGGTATTTTGTTTTTTTTTTTTTTCCTTTGAGTGGCTGCTAGTAGGCTTTGTTTCTGGATGTAGTCCCAGGGTAAAGAATATATTCTTATGTTTAATGGGAAGAGCTGGTTTTGCACACTGGTGGAGATGGAGAAATCCTGTGGACTTCAATGTGAGCAGCTGTTGTGGTTTAGTTTTCTTTACAGTGATCATCTTGTTTATGGGAAGAAAAAAACCTGCTTTTCCTCCCAGTCTGAAGATTACTCAGTTTATTCCTCTAAACCACTTCCCAGGTGTTAGCAATGAGAATAAACCTTCCCTGTGTGTACTGGTTCTCTTGTGTCAGCTCCGTTTTGTCTCCTTTCCCATGATAAGGGCTGAAGCAATCTTCCAGCTGCGGTGGCATGCCCGAGAACCACCCAGCACTGCCCAGGGCATCCTTCCCTGTGTGGAGAACTTGGTGGTGGTCAGACCCCATCCTGCAAGGCCTTTCTCCTTTTCCAAAGCTCTACGCCTGCAGAGCACCTGGCTGCAGTACAGGAGCCATCCGGACACTGAGCTCGTGCCATTTACCCAGTGGCTCTAACTGCTCAGCTGCCTGAACTCTGACCAGGGTTAGACTAGGAAAGCTGGTAATGGCCGATGCCACTGGCAACGCTTAACCTTTTGCCTGTATGCTACATAAACGCTTTCTGCTGCTGTTGCCATTCAGAAGCTGGGCTTCTGCTGGGCTTTCGCTGGCTCAGTGATTGCATTACAAAGCCTCGTAATCCTGTTATTTTATCTGGCAGGTCTGTATTTTTAGGCCACGGCTGTTAATTGTGGGAGCGAGGGGTACAGGGAAATGCAACCTGAGTTCTCCTGCCTTTAATCCATAGATTTAGTCCCAACAGTGGTGGACTGCTGCAGAGTTAAAGGCTCTCTCCTCTCTCATGCAGACCTTAAAGCGAACCTGTGCTGCTGTGGTCTCCTCTGCTTCAAGCTACCCTCTACAGAAAATGCTTCAGCCTCCTGCCCATGCTGGCTGCTCCGTGTGCTGCATGTCACCTCAGTACTGACCTCGGGGAACTGCTCTGCGTCCAGGAGTAGGGTCCTCAGCAGCATCAGAGGCCCTGGGGAAAAACTGAATGCTGTCCTCTAGCAGAAGAGGACACAGGAATCTTGTGGCTCTACTTTCTTTGATGTACAGAGGAAGCCCCAACAGAGAGGGATGAGGTAGCCTGGCTTCCCAGAAGTTTGATTTAACTAAGTGCAGGAAAGCAGAACCTCCCTTCAGTTCAGCCAGCTGTCTGTCTGTCCCTGGGCAGCAATACTACAGCTGGTGAGATAAACCCACTTGCCCTGCCCCTCTGCAGCTCACTTCTAAATAACTGTGGGGAGTTTCTGCCAAGAAAGCTTCTCTATTGTTCCGATGAGTAAGTGGAAAGAGCAAGATTTGGGTGGATGCTTTTACGGTAATAGCTTGACTAAGTAGGAAGAAATAATAGGGCAGAATTAAGATGTCACTATCAAATTTAAAAATTAAATAATCTTTTAATAAGAAACTTATTAGTTTTACAATAATAACTTCCATTAGCTAGCAGCATCACAGAGGCATGTCTCAAGGTTTGAGGAAGAACTCGGTTTCAAATTCAGGAACCATCTAAAATGAAGGCTTTTCCTGAGCACTGCAGCTGAGCTTCCCTTTCAGGGCAAGCACTAGATCCAGCTTCTCTGCACCTGGCCCTCCTTCACTGGCAGGGACAACCAAGGTAAGGGGTGTGGTGCTGTGACACAAAAAAAGAGAGGGGGAATGTTGTTCAGGTAACAACATAGAAGGGAACTTAATTTAATTCCACACTGTGGAAAGCCAGGGACTGAGAAGAGCTAAGCAGCCCTGGTGTCTGTTTTAGTGGCTACAGTCCAGCTCGCTCTTGTGTAGAAAGGCTGCGTACAACCACTGCCATGGCAGAAACTACAGGTGGACTAGATCCAGTGCCATTTTCTCTGCAGATTCAGTTTCCCAATGCTTCCTTGAAATGTTTAGACTATCCCAAACTGCTCAGCAGAAGAGCAGCTGAAAACAAAGGCTGACACCAGTAGAGAGGCCACCTTTCAAAGCTGGTTGAGCCCTTGCTGCCCAGGTATGTAATGCATGCGTGAGGATGGTATCCCTCGGCAGGAGCAGCCTGCAACCAGCCCTTCCAGAAAGCACTTAACAGACTTGTTTCTATATTCCAGTTCCTTTCAGCCGTAGTTGCTCCTGTAGCAGCTCACAACCCTGGACCTTTCAGGCTCTCAAGAGATGTCCATCCGGGCTCAGTGGTTTTGAGGGCAGGTTTTCCTAGTGTGGCCAGGCTGGTGGCAAATGCTACAGGTCCGTGGTTTCTTGGCAGTTGCTCCCGAGGAGAGACTGCTTGGTCTCTTGGCTTTACTTCCCAACCCTCTTGAGTATTCATTGCTGCCAAAGTGGTTCAAAGAGACATCTCCAGAAGGCCCTAGAGAGAAACAACTTGCATTTAAGTACCTTTGAAAATGTAAGTAGGTGAAGAACAGAAGACAAGTTGAAAACGGCGCGTCAAGGATTTCACTACCCCAGCCACTCGGATTATTCCTGAATCTGCACTTGGTTCGGATTTGTCTAAACTGTTAAATGTTATCCATTTGTCTTGCAGCATTAGAGAAATGTGGGAACAGAACAGGGGAAACTGCTCTGCCTGGTTGCATGCTCTGGTCTACAGCTGAAGTGGAAACAACAAAACATGCCAGAGGAAAACTTGCTTTTCAAGTAGTTTTGAAAACTTGATTCTACCCCTTTAGGCCCAAATGTCTAAAGAGGAGGCCAGTGTTGAAGATCTCTCTCAGACCACATCTCCACCTCTGTACTTTGCTTACTGTCCCTTTGTCTCAGTGCTCTTTCTTTTGCATCCTTATTCTGTGGGGGGTTTTTTGTTGGTTTGTTGTTTTTTTTTTATGGGTACTTGTTTTCAGCATCTTTCCACAGCAGCCACACTCAGTTTCTCAGCTCCGATCAAAGCTTCAGAAAGACTTGGTCTTTCACTGCATTTCTAAACTAGGGCAGAGGGAGTAGCGCAGTTTCCCCGGTATGACAGAATGGGGTTTAAGATCTCCAAAAGCGGTGCCATCACTTCAACTCTATACCAAGTCAGTAACAGCTCTCACAAAGCTGAGCACCGTAATTTGGGAAGAAAAATTCCCAAACAGACTGTTGGAAAGAGTGCTGGGCTTTATCTAACGAGTCACAGACAGAGAGATGCTCAAGCTTACTGCACGTAGAAGCAAAGCATCCTGCTCGGAGGTCAGCAGATGTGTGCTACGAGGACATATCCTGCTAGCACTTGGAAAGGTAAGCCAGACTCAGCTGTTACAAGCAACATTTGAAGTGCTATAATGCTGCTGACAGATGTTCTAAAGACAAACCTGAACTCTGTTAAATGTATGAGTTGCTACAAGAGCTGTCATGCTGTGGTAGCATTACGCACGTGTGAGAAGTGCGTTCGGTTTAGCTTCAACAGCCTCCAACCCTTGCGTCTTGCCCCAAGCCCAGCCTTACCTGGTGCCATGTTTTCATCTGCCCACTGGAAGAAGCCACACTGCTGCTCTCGGGGTTTAGAGCAGGTGTGGAACTGCCGCCCTTTGTTGGGCCCGTCCTTTTGTACGGTACGTGTGACGGCTGGCTGGTCGCACTTGCAGACTGTGCTGTCTCCTGAATTGGAGCTGTTGTTTCCAAAGAGCTCTGGACCTCTCCCTCCTCCTGGGCACTGAAATCCTGCTGGGTCCCTTCCTGCAAAGGGCTGGGGCAGCGCAGAGCCTCGCGGAGCTGTGTTGCTTCTGTCCTCTGACTGCTGATCAGCCCAGAGAAAAAAATTGCAGGTACCGGTGCTGCATTTGTAAAACTGCCTGCCTCGATTGGGCCCTTCTTTGCGCACAGTTAGCAGCAGGGCTTCGTTCCCACAGTTGCACACCACTGCATTGTTCCTGTCATCTGGAGCAGCTGAAGGAGCAGGCCTGGCTGTTCTCGCTGAGCTCAAGGAGAGTAGATGTCCTGATGCCAGGTTTGTGGTCCCCTTCACATGCCTGTTTTCACCACTAGCTCTGTTAAAGGAGTTGTTGACCTGTGAGTGATTAGCTTGCTGGCTGGCTGATGATGCGGGCTGGGATGACCTGTGTAAATACTTCAGGTCCAAGAGCTCTTTTAGCATGTCATCACAGCCTCCAATGCAACCAACAAACTCCAGGGGCATCACGGGTGGAATGCTGCCTCTCTTGAATTTAAACTTCAGTCTAAAAGGAAAGGAAGAATGAAAGTCTCCCTTCAATTTGG